AAATTCAACATGCTAACATTGTTTAAGTGTATAGCCTATACATCCTTAATTCGAATAATATTCGTTTGAATCGAGGCGGAGGCTCGCGTACCTCTTTTGCATTTCATGTACATAATTCCAGGTAACTTCACTAATTTATCTGCAAAACGTTAATCGCAAATCAAGCTCGTTACGAGCGGTAACCCCTCATCAGGCGTATCAATTTTAAACGCGCATAAATGCTCGATAAACGCGACTAATTCGTCCATAAAACGTTCGCTTAAATTAGTTCCGGTGTTCCCCCCAGCCACCGCGGGCATCTAAATTGCAAATACTGCATAATATCGTACGTAGGAATTTTAATAACCTCTCGGTCGTTCACCCAAAAATTTTATTTGCGGAGCCTCGGGTCTATTGAGCGTGAAATCCGATCGTTCCCCGCCGAGAGGAGGATCGTGTATTTTCTACGTTAACGGGTCATCATCTGAAGAATCGTTAATAAATTTTTACTCGGTCGCTCGCACGTTTAATTCTTGTAACTGGTAGAATGGTACGGGGCATAGGTCGGTGCTGGCCGTTATCGAAAACCGATATTTTTACGGAGTAGCTGGAAAAAGGGGTTGGTAAAATATTGACTCGATACAATAAACGATCGCATCGACGACCACTGAATTCCCTACTGTTGAATTATCCGACTTTATATCCCGTACCGGTGTCTACGTAAAGTGTAATTAAAAGCAGGAAAAGTACAAACGAATTACGGACTTTACGGAAGGTAATTAAAAAGAACGGCGGAGGATAATGAAAACTGTGATGGAAATATAGAAATTATTAAAGGCAACCGCGATATCCCGTGAAGATTATTATTATTTATCATCTATGGGAAGTATTCAGCACGCCAGTAATTAAAGAAGTATAATAGGAAAATAATGGAACTTAAAATACGAGAATCAAGTAAGGGGAAGAATTTTCGATTGGAATATGATAAACCCAGAATGAATCAGTCTTGGCGCTTGAATGATGAAACGGTAGCCGAGTGGTGATAATAATCGAGAAGTAATTCGCTTACAACGTTTTTACGCGCAACGCGTTTTATTGAAACGTAGTTATCGCGCTCGGTAGTGGTGATGCCGACATCGAATATCGATATAGTCTTCGGAATGTGCAAGGTGGCCGTAAAAAGGCGAACAAAACTCCTGGTAAACGATGCGATGTATGGGTATAGCTATCGGACTGTATCGTAAATATGATACCGATACGAGTTTTGCATGTCATAAATCGATTTTCCACCGGAGAGCCGATAAAACGGGACGTTTAACAGAATCGCTGTTGTACGAGAATAATCCCATCTCCACCGATAACCTGGCAAATTCAAAGGACTCATCGATTCCTGCGAGGGTATATTTGAGCCGTCCAGTGCACACATCGATTAACTCCACTTTTTGAAAAAACTTAAATTTATCTGTCAAAGCACTTGGTATAGTCATAACTTGTGCTTTGACACATAAATTTAAGATTTTTCAAAAAGTGGAGTTAATCGATGTGTGCACTCAACGGCTCATTTATATGTATAGACGGATAATAATCATTACACACATAATTTAATATAAGAATTATCATTTATTCATAAATAGACAAATTTTCCGCAGTGCAATAGTACATAAAATGTTAGAACATCTACAAATCATAGTTTTAATCGCGAAACTAATGTTCGTGTTTGAAACGGCTGAACCGAATTAAAACTCGGGAGAATAGCAGTACGGTCTTGGCTCTGCTTTGGATCGAATTCGCGGAACAATCCCGCACCGGAAAAGGGGGGACAAAGTTCAAAGGGAAGTCTCCCTCGTAAAAGAAAAAGTTTTCGGTCGCGAAATAAGATTTCATTTGAAATTTAAATTGCGCGACGGAACGGGGAAAACTGATAAAGGGTTCAAAGACAGAAGGGAATATTGAAAAGCCACGGGGTTGTACCAACTTGTGTAATAACAACTCCTGTACTTACGTACTGAATAATGTTCATACGTAATGTTATTGTTGTACACTAAAAGAACGATATGTAATCTCGGTAGAAATTTTGGTAGCGCACCCAATATTTATCGCTCGTACTCTTTTGGCTTACTTTTATCAATCAAGTTCCGCGATTTTTAGGAACCGGAGTTTGCTACGAATGAAAAATGTATGTAATCGGAGCACACGCTATCGAAAAGCAAACGTAGCTCCCAGCAAAAATCAATCCACGTGCCAGCTGCATTTCCGTCCCGATAGCTGCTCCTAAATAAATCTTATCGCTAGGCTACGAATCTCTATGCAGGATAAAACGTTTGCCGTGTCAATTCACATTTAAAACAGTGATGTGTATTATATTTTTGCACACCTTCGCGCATACAGTCCTTCTATGAGTGCATCTGGCCTGTAGTCTAGTCGTTACATATTAGATAAAGAAGAGGAAGGTACGAGGGTTTTTATACCGAATTTCTTGCGGCTCGTCTTAATTTGCAAAAAATTTGCGCAGCAGGAAATTAAAATGGTAATTTTTCTCGGGACCACCCCGCGCACCATCGGGATGGGGCTGCGGGGCGAGGGAGACGCGATGGAAAGTAATATTTGCCTTGAGGAAGTCGAGCGGCAGCCGGCGCGTAATCGCGCTTTGTATTTTATCAAGATCCTGATGCGACGGTGAATTATGTAATTGCGACGCGGTCCCAGCGAACCCTTTACGACGGTGAAAACGGCCGGGAAGAAGAAAATGTTTTTCCCTCTTTGACGCGGGATACGGAAAAATTGCGGATGAAAAGTTCCCGCTGGAAAAATCGCGGAATAGAGGGAAAAGGCTGAATCGGGGGAAGAAAAATAACGTCGCGTCGTCGTGCTCTCTCCTCGAGGAAGGGGATGGTTTCGAGGAGATTGGAAGCGCGGAATGTTTCCGAGCGAAACGAGGTTTTAATTAACGTGCGACCCCGGTATCTCGACTTGCTCCGAAGTAAAGCGATTCCAAAGGTGGTAGAGAAGAATATCGTGGGATTTAAATTTGCAGAACACGAATTAACTCGATTGTCTACGATCGAAACTTTGAGCAATACTGAGTGTAATTGCATTTATTAGTTAGCGTATACGGGAAGTTAATTATGAAATTGGCTTATTTGGGCAGTCGGGAAGCCTCGTTTGTTTTTCCAAAGGATCGACAGAATTTATAATGAATACCAGAGCCGGGATAATTGAATTGCTAATTGAATGAATAGAACCGCATTTTCGAAGTTCGCCGTTCGTGGAAGGGTAAGAGCTTGCATAATTCCTTAGCTCGTTACATCAACGTGTGTTTCTTCTCCGCTGATTGCTGACGTTCAGCCAAGAGGGATTAAGATTTCTGGTCCCAGTCAGGATGACACTTCGTTTGCATTTGAGCAACGATTTCGAATGAGAGATGGTTTTATCAACTCACCCTGCGAACGTAGAAGGGGGGCTTGGTTGACGCTAATTAAAACGCCAACCGTAGTCGGCGCGTACCAATTAAAGTCGATGCGTCGACCGTATTAACAGTTATTTCGCGTGTTTAATAATCGGAGATGCGCGCGTTTCTCGTCGAATTCTCTTCGTTCGCCCCAAAACGCTGAAACTTGGCTCGTTACTCGGCTACCAAGTTTTAATTAACGTTGATGGAAATCGCGCGAACCAGTTGGAGAAGTTTGAATCGCGAAATAATTCTCGAGACAGCCGCAATTTGGTTCGCGATCCATTCAAAGAAGCTAATCCCAGCATTCCCGTTTCAACGGTGTTTCAGTATTTTAATCGTTGTTATCGAAGAGGAGAAACGTTGTCCGAAGTTAGCCAGGTCTTTCATTAAACGAAAAAGGAAAGCTGCAACTTTTTTAATCGATTGTTTCGCTGAACTTTCTTAGTCGTTTTCCGAGTCGAAATGAAATTTTATTAGCGACACGCTTTCGTTTCCCTGACGAGAAAGGATTTCCATCCGGCAATCTGGATAAGAGAAAATTTGCTCCATCTCGGAGGGAATAACATCGGGAAAATTGAGAGCAAATTCTATTCCCCGGGGATGAGGAAAGAGAGTCCAATAAAATGCTTGTATAGAGGAAGCTGTAGGCTGGGACGGGTGTAGTCCGGACATAAAACGAATGCAAATTTACGTACGGTGGAGAAGACACGAGAGAACATAACCGATAATGGGTTCAGATACCACGTATGCGCAAAATTTAATACCGGGAATCGGGAGTAAACGTCGAGAACACGATACTCGACTCGTCATCAATTATCGGTGATGCAAACGACGTCGTTCATTACTTTCATCCTCTTTTGTATTTGTGTCCCACGCATTCCTTCTTTTTTTAAACAGACCGCGGATTTGTATACAAAATAAAACAGTTGTAATCAATTTAGAAAATGCAATTCGAATAGCGATTCGATTTTGCATGTTCTTGCGTTTTTTATATGAATGCCTCGAATCTACGTTGAAAGTATTAAAGGCGAAAATAGATTTAAAACGCGAAGAAGCGTAGGTTTGTTAGGTATTAAACTTTGATCGGAACGAAGTTCTGTGGCATGTGTAGACCGAGAACGCGTTTCCTTTCCGGGACCCCATAAACGGGCCACTATGTACGTGTACGTATCGTGGTGCACAAGGTGTTTCTAAATCGTCGCGTTTATACGTTCACGCTATCGCGAATGTCCCGTAATCTCGAATCGTTTCAACTCCTATCTTTTCCACCCTATCGAAACTGTCGTGTCGCGTTTCTTACGACGTGCAGATTTATTCATTTTTTTATTATCTTTTATTCTATTGAATGATTTAACATCGATTTCGATGATCGTCCGCGCGTTTACGGTGCAGCGTAGTGAATTTAGGTAGTTTTTGAGATCTGCGAGATCGGTAGCCCGTTCGGGAAACGAGGTCGATTTATCAAATGTGTACGTACCTCGCACAAGCCGTCCTCCATCATATCGCTAGTATCTCTCATGACTCCCAATGGAAACTAGCACCGACAACAATCACTCAACGCCCACGTTGTATCCGTTTCCTCCTCTCTCGATCCCGGCTCTATCTTTCGCTCGGCGATCTTCTCGAGCCGATCGCCCCGAAAACGACTCCGCGATACCTCGTCGAATTCGAGCCCAGCCTCTGTCTTCTCTGTCACGAGCGCATCGTACCCGATCGGTTTTTCGAAAAAAAAACGTGCTTGAAGAACGTACGCGCGATACAACTTCTGTACCCGTTGAATCGATCGTATCGCAACGTGTCACTTCCCTCTCTCGGTACCTATACGTATATGCTCTCCTCTCTTTCTCTTCCCCTCTCTTCAACGTTTTACTCGAGTCGCGTTTTCCTCGCCTCTCCTGCTCTCTTTTTATTCAATTTCACTCGATAATTTTCTATCACGTTTCGTTCATTTATTTTTAACGTTTTACTCGCGGACCGTCTTCCTCTCGCCCCTCGCTCCGGCTCACCACGCTGTCGAGGCCGAAAAAGTCTTGTCCGTACGCGAGTACCGTCCGAGCGCGTTCGAGCCTAGCGAACTCACGAGAGGATCGCGGGACGATCCATCGGTGAACGCGGCTATGGAAACACTGGCGCTGTCAGGTAGAGGTAGAGCAAGGGAGCAGGTCGACGGACAGCCAGACCTGCCTCCATGACACTGCTCCCGTCTTCTTCCTACCCTGGCCACAGTCTCTCCCTTGCACCGACCACATAAATACATACGCGTGCAGCTGCCTTCTCTCCTCGCTTCTACCCTCCCTCCGGCTCTCCCCTTCTCCTCCGTTTCTCATCGTCCCTCTTGCACCCTCTGCTAGCCCGCACTTCGCCTCCTTCAAAACCCCGTCTTCGTTCCTCCGCGTCGAGGCTCGCACTCTATCAAACGATATCCCCTCCACCGATCGACTGCATTTTCCTCACGTTTCCCCTCTGTGGATTCTCGCTCTTTCTTCCACGATGGACCACCCGCGTTATCCTCTCGTTTCCTCTTTGGCAACCCTCTCGACTAGAAGATTCCCCACTGAAGTCACCTACGTCCACTCGTCTTCGAACCGCGGTTTTCAAATTCGCCCTCGCGATCAACCAGATTATTCAGTTCTGAACGGTGACTCCGTCCAGTCGGATCTGCATAGACCTGACGAGAGTCCCCCAAATATGGGAATCGTGAGAGATACCGATGACACGATGGACAGATTCGAGTAACGTTTCGAAAAGATGCGCGAGTGTCAGAGGGAATTTGGACGGGAAAAGAGGAGCACTCGTGGCTGTACAAAGACGTACGCGCGGAGGCCAGCGCAGACGAACAGCTGCTATTTCACCTGTTCGATATATTATTTAAATGCTTCACCTGCCGCAATGTCCAGATATCGCGAGATAAGCGACCAACCGTCTCCTCCTTTCACGTGTCGCGAATTTCGTCTCTTCGGTGAGAGACTCCGTAAAAATGTTTAACGCTAGGGTCAGAGTGGAAAAAATTAAAAATCATAAGTTGAACATATTTGCTTAATATATATATATAGTTTTATATTACATCGAATACCGAAAAACCTATTCGCAACAGCAAGCTGCATAACGTATATGATTATACATATAAAACATGAAACGTTCAGTAAATGAATTAGTACAAGAGTTGATCGTTCAATACGAATTTTCAATTATGAAGGCCTCAGTTCAGGAAGATCACTCGTCGATCTTGCCGAGCTATTATCGGGCTGTTCACCATGATGTACTGTTGTAATTCCTCCCAGTCCACCGGTCCCACGCGATGATTTCTCCTGCAGGTTTCAAAGGGATAGTATCCCTCGCCGCCCCGAACCAAAAATGACGGAGCAACGATTCTGTACCATTGATCTTCCTTCAAATTCTCAAACCTCGGCACTTTGCAAGCTCTACATCTACAGTTACGAAATAGAAGTAGCTAAGTCTAATACTAGACCTCTCAAGGGGAGGTCAAAATGATTTGTTTGGAGTTTCTTATAATCATTATTCATTTTCAGTACATTTTGTTTTTCAAAGCAGTAATGATGCTGCTGTGTTATAAAGCAGTTTTCTTTTTTTGTCTTTTTGATGTAAAATTTTATGCAGTATACTTCCATATACCGAGATGAGTCATTTTGACCCCCACGGAACGTTGGTTACAACAGTAATTATTTTGAAAACTATTATTATTAAATCATTATTATTATCATTGTCAGTCCATTACTTAATTTTCACTTGTAAAAACGTGAAAATTTCTATGTATATTCTTAAATGACTTATTAATGTAAAAACAAGCAATTTTGACTCTACCGGTAAAAGTAGATAATCGCCGGTAGTTCTAGTGTTAAAGAACTTAAGAGAGGCATTTTGCGTTTGAAAATTACCTTATCTTCACTTCCAACGCGGTCCTCGATCCATTACTATTTATCTTGTAAACGATTTTCAACCCTGACCATACCAAGGGTCTGTTCATTTCCAAAATCTGTAACAAGACCAAAGCATGTTCGACTGAAAATCGAATATCTGAAAATCCGATGTACCTGCAAGATGCAGCCGCCGTTTAATTCAAGCGTGTCCCAAGTGTTCTCAAAGGGTTGGACCTGCATCATGTCTGCGTAAGTGACGTTCTTGTTCATCGAGTCGATGGGCGCGCGTATTCCCCCGGGATTCAACACGCCGACAGCAGCATACGTCCAGTACGTACGATTTTCCGCCTTCTTCACGTACTACGGTCGACATTAATCCCGATCCGTTGATCTCAAGCGTGTAATTATCATCGACGATTTAATTAATGAAACTCACGGAATCCACCATAGCGTCGGCGATCATATTACCGAGGTTGCACTCTCTACCCTTGCAACGATTGTCTAGGTACACCTTCGATCTTCCCAACGTCAATTTTGCTAGCTCGTCCACGACCACTTTCCATGGTTTCATAGCTTTCAGTATCTTTGGATCTGAAATTTGTATAGAAACGATTGGATAAGAAATGAATTCTATCAGGATTAAAAAGATCGTAAGAACCTTGCTCGATGGAACGATCGAGGAGAATCGGATTTCCAGCCCAATCGACCACTTCGCCCTTGTCGTCGAACCACACCGTAAAATTTCCTAAATATCTGATTAAAAAAATATGTAAAAATCGAAGCGTTCCTTTAATGAAAAAAATTATCAGTTGCGTACTTGGTAAACGCGGCAGCTTGAACGATGAGTACGGTTCTTTGGGTTTTGGCTTGAGTCACTACCACAGGGTACACGTCCTCGGGCTCGTCTATGAACGGTGGTGGTCCTGAAAGATACAAATCGATCATAGGAGACATGAAAAATGTAAACTGGTCCGATGCAGACCTGAATAGAGAAATGTGTGAGAATGTCCTCCGACGATTACGTCGATCAAGGGACAGTTCGCAGCCATTATTCTATCTACAGGTAATCCACAGTGGCTTAAAACGATGATGATATCCACGCCGAGGGACTTCAATTTCCGCGCCTCTTCGTTCACCGTTTCCACCTCGTCCAAGAATTTTAGTTTCCCCGTATTGGAAATCCTCTGCAAGTTCGCAAGTTTTGTAATGGTACAATTGGAAGCGAAGAGTCAATTGGTACGAACGTAAGTGGTTGAAATAATAACACCGATCACTCCGATCTTCGTCCCATTCCTGTCGAGGATTGTGCTGTTCTTGTACAGACCCTGAAGATTTTATTAATTAAGAAAAACTAGATGGAAATGTAATCAACGATTGATCATCACCTGCATAGTTGGCTCGTCGCTCGCATCGATATTAGTCACCACCATAGGTGCTTTGATCATCTTCAAATACGGTACTACGCCCTCGACTCCATTGTCGAATTCGTGGTTTCCTAACGTCTGGAAATACCGTCATTTATTAATTCTCAAATGAAAACACTTTTATCTTATTATCGACGGGACTGGAGATCGTTCCTTCATAAATCTTCTCCAGTAAACCCATAACGCAGCTGTTGGTACAATAATCGATCGTTTAACCCCTCGACCCAATTAAACGGAAAACGATTCGTTATCTTTTTCCCGCTATACGGAAAACTCGTTTTTTCCTTACCAGAACGTCGTGCGGGAGCATGTTCATGAACGTAGCGGTCGCGTTCCAACGATGAATGTTGTACCAAAGCGAGCCCTGGAAATTGTCGCCCGCGTTCAAGAAAATTGGATTCGGTCTCTCCGCGATCAATCGGTTCACCATCGTGGAAATCCTCGCGATTCCACCCACGCAATTCTCTTCTTCCTCTTCGTGGCACGTTCCCGATGTCGGCCCCGTTTGCTCAAACCTGTAATGTTTTAAATCGGCTTTCCAGAATAATATTAGCCGCAAAACAGAAAGACATACTATCATCCGCTTGTTTCATTCTTGAGACTCTGTGCAGATGGAATCGAATAAGGATCGTGCATTATTGAATCTGTACAGCTTCTTAAATGTGCTCAGTTTTGCATAAGAATCCGCGGTCTAGCTGGCACCAACAATTGTGAAACCCTCGGAACGACCCAGTTTCTCGATTTATGCCTTCGTTCCGATTGAAAATCGATTAGACGCGCGCTTACCTCGCGTGGAAATCATTTAAGTGTACCACAGACAACTCGAACAAATCCGATCGTCCCGGGTAATCAAGTCCTCTCCCGTTGAATCCACAAACGATTTGGACCAGTAACAGCAAAAAGCATCGATGCATCGTGGATAGAATTCATCGAGGAATTCTCTATGTAACTTCTTCCAGGAATAATCCTTTCTTTATTTCTTCACCGCATTCAATCCTCTGACGAACGAACAATTTTAACTCATAATTTTTTTCGTTCTAAAGTATAGTAATTTTAAAATGCGTTATGAACTTTCGAGAACGGTTGTTTACATGTAATTCTAAGATATTTCGACACGTTATCACTCGCTGTTCACGCGAATAACCCAGCGTTAGTTAGTATAAAGGAACGAAAACTTGATCACATGAAAACACAAATTACTCAGGAAACATACGTGCTCTTTCCTCTACGATTACTTGGTAAGTGGGTAGATTCCGGATGGGTAAGGACAAGCAGGAAAGTTTCGCGTAAAACAATCATGAGAATGTATAAAAAAATCTACGTAAAAACAAGGAGGAAATAATGGGAGCGGTGTTCCATGAGAGTTCGCGAAATAATTGAGGCTTCGCGTACACTTGTGTAAGTAAAAACACTATAATTGTGTATAAAATAAACGAAATTTGGCGATTAATCGGGAAATTAATCATAAATTCAAACGTGCAACGCACCTGGCACGTAGCCGCAGCCGCTGCTCGAATACTTGTCTGCTTAAGCGAAACTTTGAAATGATCTTTCAAATCAAAGAGCAATGCTATCACGCGCGATAAAAGAATTGTAAACACAATAAATCAGATCTGACTGATAAGGTAAAAGTCTGACGGAGAATGCACAACGAAACTCTTTTCGGTGCTCAAGTTCGAACTTCAAGGTTTTTCCGTTCGCGTTGTCGTGCAAAATGCAGTTGTGTAATTACGTAAAACAAAGCACGTGAAGGGAATCAAGCAGCAAGATATTGTTCATTTGATGCTGCAAGCTGTTCTTATCAATATATGTTATCTCCCGACAATTTACTTATTGACAACTTTGTCCCCGCTTATCTGCTACATTGAAATCGGACAGAATACATTTCAACAGTTCTGATATAAATCGAATATTTTTAATTGATCTGAAGTGTTTTTCTACTGAGACTGATGATTCCTCTTGGATGATTCGCTTTCGCAAAGCGAACGAGAGAAAGTTGGAGGGTCGAAAATTTCGGACAGACAATTGGGTTTGTACGAAAGGAATCCTATTCACGTGCCTCAGTTCTCCCGTGTCCCTCGACAGAGTCGTGTCTCTCGGAACTGGAAAGTCACCAATGTGTCGAGTGGTTGCTTACTATTCTCATCTTTTGTGAACGTATACTCGTGACGTGATATTTGAATTCGCATTTACAATTAAACCGCGGATTTGATGCACCTATAGACAAATTGTACGTGCAAGAATTTTTTTGGAAGGTATGTAAAAGTCTAGCTACACAGATGTAACGGCATCGCAACGGGAACGTAACGTGCAGAGTCATCGGAAAGGTGTATAAAACCCTTGGAGTAGGTAGTGGATCCTAAACCTCAGGTTTCTGCCTGACGATTCGGTGTCAAACGTGGACGCCTAAGCTCCCTGCTTTTACACGCTATTTCCTATACCCTGTCCTAAAGACTACGGCACTGAAAATTACGTCCTACGACCTACGAAGACCTACGTTCCCATTGTGTTAGGGCGCCGTTACAGTGATGTTACATCTGTGTAGCTAGACTTTAAGAGATTGATCAGGACTTCAGTTCTGAAATTCTGAGATTAATGTGAATGATTTATTGTGCGCAAAAATCATGTGATTACCGTCGGGCGGCTCGATTGCGACTATTTATAGAAGTCAATAGGAAAGTCAAGCTCTAATGATTTCTAAGTGCATGCCGAGTGGATAATTGTTGAAAAACTTGTTTGAAACGTGGCATAGATTTTCCCGCGTGCGAACAGGTTTTCAGACTGACGATTTATAAACATATCCACGTGTAAATCTAATGTCAGCAACTTGTCCGCCTCCATCGCCACTTTTGCTCGTTACCACGTATAATAGATAACGTGTATGAAATCGCGTGACAGACATTCGACGGTCATCTCACACGGAAATAAAGACAATCCGTCGAAAGTTTGACGAACGGATTGAACAGCCAAACGCGGATCCTGGCCCACTGTCAAGATTCTATATTCGTGTGCGGCGTGTATCGTTTAACAAAATAACAAGCGTTTGTGTCAGTCAATCGAGGGACGATTCGGTAGGAGTTGAAACAATCGGAAGATGCGAACACGTCGTGTCGTACTCGTTGTCGTCACCTGTAATTAGCGAAAACGTGTCACCGGTACGAGATTACTCATTATTACGTAAAGACGAAATCTCCTATGTTTCCTCTTCTTCGAAAACGGAAGCTTGAAAACAATGGTGAGGTCTGTATCAAAGAATCGGAGTTATTTATTTTAATTCTACAGTGTGATAGTAGATGTGATTTAGTAGAGATAAAACCGGTGGTTCTTATCAAAGTGAGAGATATACAACATTTTGTTGATATGAATTAAAATAATTCTACAGAGATGTCAATCTGTTTGGTGATCAATCAGATTACTAAGCAATATAACTCGATAGAATTGGGTTAAACAAATTTTAACCAATCACCACTTTCACTTTTTGTTCGATCACGTTGCCGATCGGTACGTGACCGAATATATTTAGGCTGTGAATAAAATGGAACCGGAGAGTATCTAACAATAAATCTATTCGATTCAAATCTAGCATCGTAATTCGCCCACTCGGTACCATCATTGAACTTCAGATTTACCAGAGCGGTTTGGTTGCCAAAACATTAGTTTGCCGAGTGCAAGCTGACATAATCGAACCACCTATTCGTAGTAATGCACAATTTCCAAACGGAAAGGTTGAACTCGTTTTACCGCGATCCTTCCCGATGATAAAACTATGTCATTTGTTATGTAATCTTGTACCTTGACATTTTTCTAAAACGGTCGTCGATATTTGAATTATCGCGTATCATTGATCGACGATCGAGACGTAAAATACAATTATACGTGCCCGCGATTATCGTTCAGAAATCTCGTTCGCGTGACGGTATTTTTCACTCGGTGCGAGAGACAATCGATTCGTGAGAGATCGACGCGAGTAGTGGAAGCAGAAGCATAATCATTCCTTCATATATAATGTGTAAGTCGATTCCCGGGTAGATTGGGGGACAAACGAAGCGAGCCTCGCGTAAGTACGTAGTTTCGGTCGGCGATCGCGATTGCGTTCAGTCGACGCTGATCGCTCGGGAAAATCGGCTCGGCACCGGCTAAAACGTGTCACGTGGTGTACAATCCTCTCATCGATTATCTTCGAGAAGAGCCCACAGGTGCGTTACCGGTAAAGGTGCAAATCGTATTTTTCTTAATCGTTATTATTTAGATCTTTCATTATTTTCATTCATCATTGCAGAGTGATTGACGGTTCGATTAGGGTTTTATTTATCTGTCTGTATTTTAACAAAGTTACTCAACTTTCTAACAGTAATTATTAGTAACTAACCAGTTTATTAATTGTTAACGCATTGATAGCGATATAAAAAGTATTTCGATTGTGCATAATATTCTACTGACATGTACGTGTTCTAAAGTTTCTGTAGAAATTTATCAAAACTAACTTTACGAGGCAAAGATAAGATTATTTAGTATGAACAATTATTTGAAGCATTTTTTTACATAACATTAAAACGTAATTGTCTAACTGACGTCAGTTAGAATTCTTCTTGCGTTATCCAGTGTTCAAAGAAATACAAATTGCGTTCATTCTCACGTAAAGTATTTTCAGTGACAAGGAAGAAAAATTGCTGATATGTACATTCCTATAAATACTTAAGAAAAAGTTTGTACTGAATGTATATTTACAATACAGTCGTTAATCATTGTTCATGTCAGAAATAAGAAACGTCAAGTTCAGTTGCTTTCATTATGATGTACTTAGTGGAATTCCCTAATCTAGTTTGATTGAGGAAACTCGTAGATGAAAAGATATTAAAATTTCGTTGCGAAAACAACGTGCTAATTATATACAGGTCTGTACTTTCTTATTCGTGCAGTAAATACGATAAAGCTGGTTATCATAAAATGTTAGGAAGAGTTCTTGGCAGACGTCGAGCGCGTTTCGCAAGGGAATTACGTATAACGCATGTTAACGTTAATCCATGTCACGGATAACAATTTTACTGTACAATTATTACTTCATCGCGGCCTTTGTCAATCGTAAACTTTTTTTTATGACGTTCCAGATATTCCACGGTCCCTTTCATCTACACCGTCTTCTCTCTATTTTTGTCTTTCTCAATCTGCACTGTCTCGGTTTCAAGGGAAATAGTAAATCTTCATTCCGATATATGTTAGACTTCTTTATTCAATCCTATATTCGCATTCCTACGAATGGTATTAGAGTGATCAGAAAGTAAGTCAAATGTAACGATCTAGAAGCTAATGATGTCTGGTCGCGTGCAGAATCCAATGATCCAGAAAATAAGAACTGTATCTTGAAAACGGATGAAAATGTGTGTTTCTTGTTTTGTCTGTTTAACAGTAGATCAATATCAACTCATGGTAGCTAGTGGAAACGAATAAAAATGATTGCCGCTTCTTTCCTTATTTGCATCCTGGCGTTCGTCACCAGCGGGCTTGGGAATCCGGTGTTAGAGACGGACGGAGGATTTACCCTGAGAATCGTCCATACCAACGACATGCACTCCAGGTGAATAAATTAAATTGTCGAAACAACTGTCGAACATTATCTGAAAGAGAAGTGTCGCGCGTGTCGCTATCGCGTGTATATTTATTTAAAGATATACCTTAATACCTTGCTTTCAAAACGTTTTGTTTCAGCTACCATTGAATTAGCCATATGTTCAATACTAATTGCGAATAATAACGATAATTGCTAATAATAACGACTAGCACTCACGGTTAAATTTCAAATGTTAATTGCCCCAGTTGCTAGACTTTGCATATTGAAAACGTTCTTATATCGAGTTTTTTTATTCGCATTGTAAAAACGTGATTAAGGCGTGGCAGAATATATCAATTTCTATGTTAATTATTCACAGATTCGAGCAGACGTCGAGATTGTCGAGCGTCTGCTCGGACAAGGAAGCGGCGGAGGGAAAATGCTACGGGGGATTCGCTAGGATCGCGACTCTGGTCCGTCAGGCCCGAAATTCGAGCGTTCCATGCCTTTTCTTAAACGCTGGCGATACTTACCAAGGTTCGACATGGTTCAGCGTTTACAAATGGGAGATCGTGGCCAGACTTTTAAATATTCTCAAGCCTGACGCAATAGTACGTAAAATAATTGAAATCAAGTTAAGGGTGGCATCGAATGTTTCTTCTCTTTATATAAAATGCTTAATTGTTATATAAGAAACATTTTGAAACTAATTTTATTCTGTATAAAAATCCGTAGTCTAATCGTCACCTTAAATTAAACTTGACTGCCAGTCATTGGTATTAATTCGAGGATTCAGCTAAACGAACGCAGCTGCCTTTTAGAAGTCGATCCGAGGATGCTGAAAATGAGGTCATCACTTAATCGCGTCCTGTAATTTATTGCAGAGTTTGGGGAACCACGAATTCGACAATGGCGTGTCTGGTCTCGTACCCTTCATCCAGAATGCCAGCTTTCCCATAGTGACCGCCAACCTTGACCTCAGACAACAACCGGACTTAGCTAATACGCCACTGTTAAACAGTACAATTTTAACCGTGAATGGAACGAATCAAAGAATCGGTGTGATCGGTTACTTGACTCCTGAAACAAAAATAATCTCCAAGACGGACAATGTGACTTTTTTAGACGAGGTGGAGAGTATTCGTAGAGAAGTGAAACGATTGAAAGGACAAGGCGTGAATATACTGATCGCGGTGGGCCACTCAGGTTTCGACATTGATAAGAAAATCGCGAGGGAAGTGGAGGATATCGATTTGGTGATCGGTGGTCATACGAACACGTTCCTCTATACCGGCAAGCAACCGGATACGGAGGTACCCGAAGGTCTCTATCCAACCGAAATAAAACAGAAGAATGGTAGGAAAGTTTACGTTGTCCAGGCTTATGCTTACACCAAGTATCTCGGAAATTTTACGGTGAACTTCGATCGAAACGGCGAGGTGACCAGTATCAGTGGAAATCCTGTGCTGGTGAACAGTAGTATTGAACAGGTAAATAGATTTTTTACGGTAATCGACTGGAACATAAAATGTAGGATACAATTTAGATTTTTCTCTAACAGGCGGAAGATGTTCTCGACGTGTTAGAACAAATGAGAGGTCGTATCAACAATGTCACTTATCAAATTGTTGGAAAGACTCGGGTTCTTCTTGAGGGAGACAGTAAAGTTTGCCGACGAGAAGAATGCAATCTTGGTAATTTAATCGCTGATTCGATGGTCGAGTACAATGCCGGGGAATTCGGCGGCACGAACGGCTGGACGGATGCTGCGATTGCCTTTCATAACGGAGGCAGCATTCGAACGTCTATCACGACGGTGAACGATTATAAAATTACCATGGGTGATGTGCTGGCGGTGCTACCGTTCCAGAATTCTATCGTGAAGGTTTCGATGACCGGGGAACAGATGTTATCCGTGTTAGAATGGAGCGTGTATAATCTTCGAATAAACGATACTTCAAATCTCTTTGGGGCGTTCGTGCAAGTTTCTGGACTTCAGGTATAATTTTTGAATAAACAGCGATGGTTCAACGTTAAGAAAAAATTATTCCGCAGGTGGTTTATGACTTGACGCGACCAAACAACTCGAGAGTACTTTCGGTGGAAGTGTTATGTGCTTCCTGCAACATTCCAATGTACAGCAAACTAGAAAAGAATAAAAGTTACACTGTACTTCTGACCGATTTTATGCAAACCGGTGGCGATGGGTATTCTATGTTGAAAGACCTTAAAGCGCGAGATATTGGTATTGATTTAGTTTTCTCTTGAATTGTTTGATGTCGGTTTTTGTACAAAAATACTTCTTGTGTATACAGGTGTTACCACGTCAGATGCACTGGTGAAATATTTAGAGAGATCCATGGACAGTCCTGTTCATCCTGCTGTCGAATGGAGAATTTCTTACTTAAACGAGAAAACCATCAGCGGTTCGAGTAGAATTTATGGTTCGAGACTGATGACCGTACTGCCTGCAATCAGTTGGCTCCTCACAAGATAGATGCTAGATACGTTTTGAATAAATCGACTTGAATTCACTATTTCGAGGCTTGTAATTTATTTAATAATAGATATTTTTAATCAATGTTTCATCTTTTTTACTACCTCAAATATACACTTTTTTTTTATACATTCTGATATTTACGAAGAACATTACGGACGCAAGATAGCAGTTGGACCCTGCAGATGCGGTTCAAAAGGTATTTCCGTTTCGCCTTCCACTACAATCGTAATAAAGTTTACAAATCCGGTAGAGAGATATAAATATATTATTTTCATCAACGTTCACAGCGAATAGATATATTTATGATACAAATAAAAGTTCTAAAATCGTACATTCGAAAAAATATTAAAGTTCTAACATTAAGATCTATATTTATTGGATAGGATTTCGTATGTATGCAAAATTTACAAAGCTTCACATGGTTTAATCGCAAAATGAAGAATTATTCAGGAACGCCCGTATATATTCTCACTCCATGCATATCCTTGATCTCGTCCTTAAGTGCCTACGAGCATAAGAATAAATGCGATTAAGAAAACTTAATGGTACATCGAAATTGGTGTAGCTGTGCTTCTTACTTCGTTAATCAGCCTATGTTGTTTGATAGTATTCAGTCCTTTGAATTCAGGCGCGATAACGTTTATCTCAAACATTGCTCCGCATCCCCCTGCAATGAGAAATTTTAAATATCCAACTCCCAGCTTTCCGACACATGAAATGAAAGAGATATTTCGCTCTTTACCTGACATATCGTTCACCTCGATGAGTTTAGCTTTCGGAAACTTATCCCTTAAAATTGTTATCATTTTTTGTTCAGCTTGTTTGCCAGCCAATGCGCTGTTCGGCCCGTTCCATACCCTGGATAGAAGCTGAAAAACTTTCATTTTATACATCTTTCGCATTCTTGACAGGGGTTTATTTGATTTGGAGAAAATAAAAAGACACGGGGGTATCGGGGATTTCTTCGAACAATAAATATCTAAGCGGATTCCGGCATATTAACGGGGAGAATCATAATTATCAGTCTCCCGATTATAAATTAATTTGCACGTAGGTAAACGTTATACTTAAAAGTGAGTGAAAACGTGTATTGCCTGTATACCTACCGAAATATTACGATAATTTGACATAAACACACGCCCGAACATAGTTATTATAATAGCTAGCACCGGTTTAAACTTCACTTGTTTCTATGCTTCGACTTTATCGCGTGACAATCTTTTTTTCCAATGGACGAGACGAAGAGGATACTCACGCACGTGAACGCGAATATTTCTCTTCGATCAGCTGATTTCTAACCAAATGTCTCGTAGCGCTATCTACGTTAGTACAATCACTTGAGTGCAGCTGATGTCAATGAAAATATTTGGGAAGCGAAATACTCGAGAAAATATAAGTTTCTAAAGAGTAGTCGCTCGTTAACTGTGCAACAAGTTCCACAATTCGATGAGTGATAATTCTAAGAATATCTCATGCTGGAAGCACTATCGTTCTCGTCCTGCAATTGTCGTATAAAAGTGACATTGTTCGATACGATATTTTGAGAGATGAATAACATTGAAATCGAGGATTTTTATCATCATGATTTCACGGCGGCTACAGAATGGGAAGTATTCATCGCGAGATTGGAAGAGATCATGCACGAATGGAAGTTGCCTAGCACGAAGATCGGCCCTTGTTTAAAATCCGGTGACTTCGTCAATTGCCAGTGGGATGAAAAATCAGAAAAACTTCATTTCGCTGGTTCGTTCACATTTTTCTACTAGTTCCGTATTTGGGAATGTAAATACATTATACACATCTTTCCTCTGTCGCAGATGCTGAATTTACGTTGAAACACTTCCGATTGAAATTGGATGGCAATGACGTGGACAATGGTTTAGAGGAGAACGAGGAGGAGAAAGTACAATGTCATAAAGATGCATTGAATACGTCGAACGATTTTGCTAGAATTGATGGGAATCACTTGGAAATAGCCCGGTATTATGGCATCAGAGATTTTTTGGTTTTGCAGTCCTCCAGAAAAGATTCTGTGATGGACGAAACCAAGATCAAAATTTTAGTCAGCTCACTGGCAATCGCAGTAACTAATGCCAACTGGTAATCAAATATTCTTATGGAATATGAAATTCAGTTGTGTCATGATAAGATTGATTCAATTTGAACATCCTTACAGCGATATACCTACGTTGGTACAAGTACAAGAGCCATGGCAGAAGATGTATCTTGGAACCAGTATCGGGAAAGGAGTTTGTACTCACTTTGACATGGTGCATTTGAAGAAGATACCTTCGCATTGCAAATACTTAACTGGTATGAGAATAATTATGAAGTTTACCAAATTAATTTGATGCTAATTCTACGATACATACTATTATCAGGACTACTTGCTCTCTTTAAACAAAAACTGGGAGAAAACTGTGGTTTAAGATTGGATCCTGTGATGATATCTGTTCGATTTTCTTACCTACTGAAAGATTGGACTAGTAGCACGTGGACTCAGGAACCTCCGGACTTCGATTTCATGCAAGGGGAAACATTGGGCGTAGCTGAACTTGGAAAACTTCCTTTTGGGGCGACGTACGATCCCATCGCGTAAGGATTTTACATATCGCAATAATAAATCTTTTTTTTCTCGATTTAACTGAGTTGGGTGTATGAAATCGGCGAATCGTTGCAGTGAGTTACATTTATTTACCACGTGGCCTGAAGTCTCCGAGAACGTTATAGTCGATAGCGAAGGTTTTACGGACTTGGAACCACAGTTGGCGCCCGAATGGTCCGTACAAGTTAAAATGGTTTCATCGCCGGCTTGCTTACTCGGCGAATACCTAACAGACTTTTTACATCTTTGTAACAATCAAAGAACTTTGGTAGATCTGCTAGGGGACGCAGTGATCTATACCCAACAGGAAGATCAAGCGTTGAGCTCGGTCTTCAACATCTTAACGGAGTCCAAAATACCGACGATATCGACGGTCGTTAGTAAAGCGACTGCGAAGAAAAATAAGAACCAAGTCGAAGGACCGATACCGGAGGAAATATTATTGTCTATACTTTATTTCCTCTTCCCCGACGCAGAGGAAAATTCTGTAAGTAATCTTTCGTTAAACATTTAGTTGGAAAACAAGAGAAGTAGAAGTATCACAACCGATATTACAGAAAGCTCTGTACGGCGACGTGACTATATGTAACGTGGACGAGGACCAGTGGAAAGGCGTGAAGACGTGTGCAATGGACAGCTTGGTTTGGCGTTTGTCGATCGTCGCCGCGCATTGCACACATAATCTCGGAGGCATGACGGCATTGGCTCAATTGTGGTACGAGTTCGTGCAGGAAATCAGGTTCCGATGGGAAAGAAGCATTCTCATACCTGGGTAAGTACTGCTGCTTTATTTCAATTCGATTACACGGTAAAAAATAACATACGTGAATCTTTATGTGAAAAAGTTTTATACAACGCGATGTTATAATATTGGCAAAGCTTGTTGCCAGGTCTTATAACGTCAGTACATTTCTCCGAGAACACGTGTCGACAATCGAATTTTGATAGACGCTTGTTTATGATACAGTCTTTGGATAAAAACACATCCACCATTCATACACGATAATCTTGACTCGTTTACTTATTGCTATGATTGTTTCGAGAGATCGCGCGTCTCGATTAGAATTCGAGAGCGCACACAGTACAGGTTTATATATAAACGTGCAACTTTAGACACTATTACCTTAAAGCTGTACCTATTAACGTTCTCCTTCGCGCTGTCACGTTATTACGTCCATTACACGGTAATATCTGTAATAACGTGGGCGTTATCTAAAATATCATATTATTATACATGATATATGTATATCTACGTGGACGAGATAAAGTCACTGAACACGTTTGAGCAAAACCTGTACACACGTACAGTGTACAAAAAATCAAAGGGGCATGAGACCACTGGTTCTCGTCGTCGGGTTACGCGCCATGTATATGTCCATATCGTGGTCGGTCCAATTGTTCTCCTCGTAATTGTTCAGAGTGTGCGTCGAGTCGGCTATGCTGTACCGACTGCCTGGTCGCGGCGGGTTTTGCTCCAACGTGCGGTTGCACGATCTCGGTCTCTGCCTCCTCGACGAAGAGTGCGGCGGCAAATGACTTGGCGAGAAATTCGCCCGCGACATTCTATCGGAAGCCGCCGCCAGAGACTGTCGAGATTGTCTCAGCTCTACGATCGAAACAGATATTTTCAATTACGCATCCAACTCGTACTGTACACGCGTATCATTACCTGATCTCGTGTTGGCAAGATTCGAAGACAGGGTGTTGTTCCCGAAGTATCTCGTCGACGTGTTAGAAAAACTATGTTGGGATTGTTGGTCAACTACGGATCGAGTCGACACTTTTCCATTGTAGTGCTGTCCCGCTTGAGACCTGACATCGTCGATGCAGGAGGCTCTAGTTATCGAACCTAAATCAATAGCGATACATGAAACACCTGAAGATAATACTCTGATCTTTGTTCGTACCTTGCCTATCTATGGGAAATATTCTCGGTCTCGGTATGCTTCTGTTGCTATACGCAGACACTTGGTCCCACTCCTTCTGAGCGTTATAAGCACTGAGAGTAGCCATCGATGACAGGGGTCCACCGGGGCTGGGCGTCGGGCCAACGTTAGAGCAGCAATTAACGGGTAGTCCACTGATCGGTCCCCCCATTTTCGTTTGATCTATACTGTGAAGCGTGTGGAGCTTCCTGGCTCTTCGTCGATTCGCTACGATGAATATTATTACCGCGACGACGATCGTCGCACAGATCGCTGCGCTGGCAGCTATAGTGATCTTGTCCATGTTGGACGTAGGCGAATTCTCCGTCCTCACTTCTTTGCACTGGTTGTAAGGTACGTTCGCCGGAGTAATATTCGTTTCTTCCAATGAAACTACGCACACCACGATACATTCCTGAAAACAGAAGGAAGCGTATTAATTTGTTGATTAGACTACGAACTTTAAAGGATGAAAATTGACATACCTGCGAAGGAACGTTCTTAATTTTGAACTCCCGTTCGCTGGCTTCGAGAGGCGGCGCTTGTTTGAAACTGCTGTCTCCGAACAATCTGTAGATCACTTTGAAGCCTAAAATATTAGTCGTCTCCGTGTCCCAGTATATGATCACGGCATTGTCCTGTCTCAAAACGTCCTTCACTACGATTTCCTTGTCGCTGGATTTCGATTTGTAAAGAGGCGAGCCGAGCACCAACGGTGGTCTCGGTTGATGCTGCTGCAAATGCTCCTGAGTGTGCTTAGGCGGGGTCAACGTGGTTCTCATTATCACTACGTTTCCCGTTCGTGCCGCGGTCGGTCTGTTAGCGATCGTCCTCGTCGTAGTGGAAACTGGTGGCTCGGTTTTTTGAAGTTCCGTCGTGGAAGACGCGAACGTCGTGCTCGACATGGTCGTCGTTGCGGTCACAGTCGTGGTGCTCGCAGATTTGGTTGTTGGACTGTAACTGCTAGCCACGGCGGTGCCCGTAGGTTCTCTGGTATCGACGCTTTCCACCGTTCCGATTCCAATTATTTCCGGTGTCCTCTCACAGGACATTTCTAAAAAAAAGGAATATCAATTAAGTTTTTAACCAAACTAGTAAAACGATTAATGTAAAAGCGTCGTTATTACCTTCGGGGTCGATGTTGTAAAAACTCTTCTCTTGCAATTTCTGTGGGCTCCCGCAGAATTGCGGCTTGCGTTCTCGACTGGTGACTTGCAAGTCTCTAGTTTTTATCCAATCGACGATCCACCGGAGTCTGCAGTCGCAGACGAGGAATCGGCCTCCTAAACTCAGACCTCGCAGCGTCCCGTTGAGTCGAGCCAAGGCTTCCTCCGGGACAGTCGACAATGGATTCCCGTCGATCGCCAGCAGAGTTATCGACGGGTTCTTTTCAAAAGCGTTTACCGGTAACTCCGTGATCAAATTGAATCCGATATCCAGTACCTAAATGGAAACTGATTACTATCTCTAGACTTCATGCATAATTAACTCGATATTCCTGGTAGAGACCCACCCTAAGATCTTGAACGCTGTTGATGGCAGCCGTAGGAAAATCCGGAATGAGATTGTTTAACAAACTTAACGAGCTCAACGTGTTCTTAATTCCATAAAAAGCGTCCGATCCAATGTTCTGAATTAAATTGCGCTCGAGATTTAATCCAGTCAGTGACTCGAGCCCCTCGAATGCCTTCGTAGCCGCGGACCCGGGCAATTCTCTAATACTGTTCTGGGATAAATCGAGAAAGGCTAACGTCTTCAGACCGCGAAGCGCTTCCGGTACCTTCTTCTGTTTGGTACCTTTCAAGTTCAAATTCTTCAACGATCTCTCCAACCCTTGGAACGATCCAGAGGCCAAGGTCACCTCGTTGTCAGAGAGTTTCAGAGTCACCAACTTCAGCCCTGCGAAAGCGTTGTCGTTCACCCTCGTTATCTTGTTCACAGACAAATCCAGTACGGTGAGATTCCTCAGCGTCTTGAGGACCGTAGTGGGCACTTCCGTCAGCTCGTTATCCTTCAGGTTCAGGCTCTTCAGAGAATTCTCTTGCCCTTTAAACGCTTCCGGTTCGATCGTTTTGATCCGACATCCGGACAGTTGCATGTTATTGATTTTAACAGACGCGAAGGAGCCGTTCTTTAGGACTCCCACGGTGCTGTTGTTCACGTAGAACAGGTCCATCGTGAGTTTGGACGCGTGTCGTCGCACCGCGGCCAGTAGCTGCTCGTAGTCGACGATATCGCATTGTACGGACAATTCCCTGGCCAAATTGTAATCGCAGATGCAGGAGCTCTCGAGCTCGGCCACGTGTTGCGCCCATGGGCAACTGGACGTTGCTGCCACGTTAGATACAGCGATTACGCTTACGAGAAGCAGGAGCACCGGATTTATATCTGAAAACGGAATTAGATTCTGCATTCGATGACTTAATTAGTGAAAAACGTACGTTTTCGATCTTTTTAATTTATGATAAACTGACGAGAGGTCGAGGGTACAGGGTTAAGATCGAACGGTTATAGAGAAGCGTGACGTATAGGCAGAAGTAAAGTTGTCCAGCCCAAACGAACCGCAACGAACCAAGGTCCATGGCTGAACCCGTTACGAGTCAATGGCCGGAGTAAACGCATGTCCTCGCCTCGATGAATTCTATCGATGGCAGTCGACCAACGGTGTACAAATTCCTACCCACATCGCATACGATACATTATTTTTTATTTCGACTTTCATGAATTAACTTAGTCATCGATTCCTTTCGATTCCACGAATACCGTAATTTAACAAGAAAGTCGATTGCCGGCCAAAATCGAAGTTTCCCTCGTGCAACGATTTCTTTTGTACTTTCCAATGTCTCTAGAAACGAGTAATTTGACTGATTCTCAAGTTTTTCTTGAAGAAAACCGAGCATTTTCTTGTTCTTAATTATACGCACGCATCGGAGTAATCGAAACGGATATGAAATTCCGAATCGATTACGTGCGATTAATTAATCTCGAGGCTGCCACGTTATATTAACTGTACCGTGCAATTGCGCACCCGTGTGCATCCGTGAAAATGTTCTTCGTGCAATTTGCTTTTACGCAAGCCTCGTAGCAGCTACTTCCGGATTAAAATAGTGCGTGACTTTTAATTGCTCCGCCGTAACCAGAAAATGTTTATGATTCAATCTCGGGGTCACAGAATTTTTGTAAAACCTCCTATCTATACTTGATTAGCTCTAAAAACGTCCCGGAAGTTATTTGGAATACGTCGAATTTTTAGAGCGGAGTCGACCATTCGAATCTTGTTACGGTGGGAGGAAAAAGAATAAGGACAGATCGGAATACTTAATTAATTAATGTGCTCGTCACGGCTTTGGATCTTGGAACACTTGTTAATGAGAGCACAGGAGTGCACACGCCATTACCGTGCCATTATCATCGTCTACAATCTATGTATATGGTCCAGTCAATTTCCTCGATAATTATCAACGACGATTGTCACGAGTTCGTTAAAAATTTATACGATTCCGTAACAATACGTACGTTTGAGATAGGTCCACGAGATATTCTTCTTTCCTATAAAATTGTAGCTTCGATCAAACGTAATTAACTTAAAGATGTATTGGCTATACAGTCAATCCCAAAAGTTTATGTACCTTAGAAAAACGCATTTCCTATAATTAAAAAGAAATCAGACGTCGGAAGAATAATGCTAATAATAAATAGTTACGTGCTAAAAAGTATAGAAG